CTTGTGTTCCAGCCAACCACCTATCCCCTCAAGCACTCAAGTGGCGGGAATACAGGAGAAAGAATCCACTCGGGCCCCCCGGTCTGTCAGGGAGCCTGGACCGGAGGCCACAAGAAGCACGGCTGGCCCGGAGGAACCCCATATTCGAGTTCCCTGGCTCCCTCAGTGCTAGCCATGTGAACTGTCGATTGAATGGTATGTGAGCTCAGTTCCCAGGGTGCCTGAGCAGGCTCTGTTGCTGCAGGGAGGGACTGGAGAAGGGGTCAGTGCCTGCATGCTCGGAGGTGAGGTACCACAAGCTGCAAAACGAGAGACGCTCAGGATTGACTTTCTCCTCTTCCAGGCCAGATAGGAAAGCCATTACTGCTGACGTGCCCTGACTTCCAGGACCCCTTTTCTCTGACTGAGAAGCCCCCAGCTGAATTCTGTCTGTCCCCAGATGGCAACTCGGAGGCTGTTTCCATTGACCTGCTTCAGAAAAAAGGTGACTGTTAGCCTCAGTGCCAACCGGGAGTTCTCTTGTCACTGCCTGTGTGTGCCCATTGTTCTGCTCTCTAGCCCTCCAGAACCTTTCCCCAGCTTTAAACTCTGGAAGGAATTAGAGAGCACAGGAGTGGAGCAGACCGCGCTATGAGTGTGTGTGCATGTGCAGCAGAGGTCTCAGGAACAGGACGGCTCCTTTGGGTCACCAGGTGTATGAGGGGGACTGCTGGGTATCCCATCAGTGCTTTAACAAAGGGCTTCCAAGCACAACACCAGGAGTCCCGATGGAAACATCGAGAGAGGGGAGGATCAGGGAAGACCTACTCTGTTTAGCAGAAAAGGAGCCACTGAGTTAAAGAGAACATTTCCAGTGAGATGAAGGGAAGAATTGTGCAGATTTGAGCAGAATTGGGCTGAAGGGAAAGCAGACTGAATTGGGAGGAAGGAAAATAAAGTTTGGAGGCAGAGTGGGAGATAGCGAAACTTTGAGGCACAAGAGAGCGATGGAGCAGGTGGGGGACAGTGAACTGTAGTTCTGGTGTTGGGATGGGGGGGGCGCTGGAGGACTTCCCAACAGCACCCCTATGGGAAGTTACCCCAGCGCTTGGGAATGCTAGCCTTCTCCAGCAGCAGCAGCTCATACCCAGTTTCTTAGAGCAGAGACTGCTCAGGATGGGACTGAGAGAAAGTTAGGATATTGAGGGTCTTGCTGATGGAACCATTGAGAATGGGTCCGGGCTGGGAGATTAAACAAGTGGGTCTTAGAACTGGGCAAGACCAGGAAGGGGCCAGGGCCCTGGGGCTTTGTCAAGACCCAGGTGCAGGGAGTGTGGACATGTTTCTCTCTCCCCACCACGGGCTCATCCCAGCTACGTTCCCCAAAGCCCCTTTCTCAAGCACCTTTCGGATCATGTGAAATGCTTGCCCGCAGGACTGGTGAAAGCCGTCAACACTGCGGTGGACCTCATTGTGGCACATTTCGGCACCAGCCGGGACCCTGGCGTGAAGGTAGGCCAGAGGCCGTGGGGTCTTGCCAAGTCTGCTTCCCTTGCTTTCAGGCATTTAGAACCCAGAGTTGGGTGCTTGGGGATGGAGACCTGCAGAGAAGCACCATGAGTGCAAAAAGGCAGAGAGGACCAAGCACAGGCTTCAAATGAGTCCCTGTACTTCCTGCCCTCATCCTCAGGCGAAGCTGGGGAACAGTTCTGTGAGCCCCAATGTCGGCCACCTGGTCCTGAAGTACCTGTGCCCCGCGGTCCGCGCCGTGCTGGAGGACGGGCTCAAGGCCTTTGTGCTCGACGTCATCATTGGGCAGCGGAAGAACATGCCATGGAGTGTGGTTGAGGCATCCACACAGCTAGGTAGGTGCTTGGTGACAAAAGCGAACTCCAGGCTGAATAGGGGGTTTCCAAGACTGGGCAGGTAAGCGCCATTCTTGGCTTCTTTTCTGCACAGGACCATCCACAAAAGTCCTCCATGGCCTCTACAACAAGGTCAGCCAGTTCCCAGAGCTCACCAGCCACACTATGCGCTTCAACGCCTTCATCCTGGGCCTGCTCAAGTGAGTGTGAGGGTGCAGGACTCCGGCCCAGCAGCCCCCTTCCCAGGGCTCCACCCCCTCTGAGGAACCAGTTTCTGAGCCAGATACACACAGAGGGGCCCAGACTCACGGCCCCATTGCATGACAGCTGCTCCCAGTTGACCAGCAAGGTCCTCTGGCCCCCACAGCCTCCCAGCCCTGATCCCCTGCCTCCTGTGTTGCCCAATCCACAGCCTGGCTTATGTGAAAATTGAGCTGATTCTTCAGTTTCTCTGGGTACAGTAAACCCTGACCCTCTTCATGCCCACACTCCTTCCAAACCCTGCCACACTCCTTCCAAACCCTTCCAAACCCTTCCACACTCCTTCCAAACCATTCCACACTCCTTCCAAACCCTTCCAAACTCAGCCCACCTCAGGATCCACACTGGATTGTTCTTTGACAAGTACAGTCCCAGCTTCTTCCTTTGTGGGCCTCTGCAGCCCCGCACTCACAGTCTGTAGCTGCCCTGATTTCTGGGGTCCTCCAAAATGCACCTGCGTTCTGGGAGGGAATAGGTCACGTGTCCATCTCATCCCCACTGACTTTCCAGGACTCGAACCAATATAGCATCCAGGCCACAGGCAGGAAACACCCACCTCTCTGGGCCCCATGTCTGTCCTCAACTCTTCATCGTCTGGCTCTCACCACACGAAACTCAACTCTCTTCACTTGTCTCCCTACAGCATCCGGTCCCTGGAGTTCTGGTTCAACCACCTCTATAACCACGAAGGTAACACTGGGACTGTGCGATGCCAACTCAGTGTAGGCAGAGCCCCTGAGCCCACAGAGGGTGGCATAGCCCCTTCCAGGGGCTTGAGGTTGGGGATTGGTGGGGGAGGGGCGTGTCCCACACAGGTTCCCCCCATATGTACTGGGCTTCAGCCATGCGCTGACCCTCCCTCTGGCAGCAGAATGTTCAGGCAGTGTTGAGGTCAGAGTGGCCTGGAACCCCAAGTCCTCTCTCCCCTGTGCTTGGGGCCACACTGTAGAGCTTCTGCGGTGCACTCCTTCCTGGTCCCTGCGCCCGAGGGCACGGGCTGGGCCCTGGCTCTGCGTCCAGTGGGCTCAGCCCCGTCTCCCCCTGCTTTCCCACCCCCAGATATCATCCAGACCCATTACCAGCCCTGGGGCTTCCTGAGTGCCGCACACACCGTGTGCCCCGGCCTCTTCGAGGAGCTGCTGCTGCTGCTGCAGCCACTGGCCCTGCTGCCCTTCAGCCTCGACCTGCTGTTCCAGCACCGGCTGCTGCAGAGCGGGCGGCAGCAGCAGCAGCGCAAGGAGCTGCTGCGGGAGTCGCAGGACCTGCTGCTGTCCGCACACTCCACGCTACAGCTGACCCGCGCCCGGGGCCAGGAGGGCCCTGGGGACCTGGACCGGGCCGGCGATGGGGAACGGGTGAAGGGGGTCGGCGCCCCGGAAGGTGGAGAAGACGAGGAGGAAGAGGAAGAGGCGGAGGAGGCCACTGCAGCTGCTGAGAGCTCAGGCCGCAGCAGGGGGACCCGAGGCGGGCAGACAGGCTGGTGGTATCAGCTCATGCAGAGCTCCCAGGTGTACATCGAGGGCTCCGCAGAAGGTTCTAGGTTCCCCCGTGGGGGCAGCAGCAGTGAGAAAAAGAAAGGCACAGGCGGCGGGGGGCCACCGCCCCGAGAGGGAGTTGTGGAGGGGGCTGAGGCCTGCCCGGCCCCCGAGGAGCCCCTTGTCCGGGACCGGGGCTGGCCCTTCTGGATGGGGAGCCCCCCGGACTCGGTGCTCGCTGAGCTGAGGCGCAGTCGGGACCGGGAGGGGCCCCCTGCACCCCCGGCAGGAAACGAGGAAGGAGCCTCAGAGCCTTCTCCTGGGGGCATCAAGTGGGGACACCTCTTTGGGTCTCGAAAGGCTCAGCGTGAGACCCGGCCCGCCAACAGGTAAGAGCCAGACAGGCATAACAGGGGGTTAAGGGTCCCAGGCAAAGGCGGGGCACAGAGAGAGCCAGAGCCCCAACTGTGTCCCTCAGGCTCCCCTCAGACTGGCTGAGCCTGGACAAGTCCATGTTCCAGAGAATGGCGCAGACAGTGGGTGCACTACGGGAGCCCCCCGAGCCCAGGGAGTGCCCACAGGAGCCGCACTCCCCAGCCCCGCCTGCCAAGCCTCCCTGGTGAGTCTGAGAAATGGGATGGGGTGGGAGGTGCTGGCCTTATGAGGGGTCTCTGACCTCCCTGTGTTGTTTCCCCAGTGAGGTGAAGGCACTATGCCACCATCTGGCCACCGGCCCAGGACAGCTGAGCTTCCACAAGGGGGACGTCCTGCGGGTCCTGGGACCAGCTGGAGGAGACTGGCTGCGCTGTAGCCGGGGCCCCGACACCGGCCTGGTGCCGCTGGCCTATGTCACCTTGACCCCGACTCCAAGTCCAACCTCTGGAGGCAGCCAAAACTGAGGTCCTGTGCATGCTGGTGACCTCAGGGACCCTCGTTAACCCTCAGACTCGGGGCCTGAGAGCCCTTTCCCAGCCCTCTGACTCGCTCAGAGAGCAGTGGGAGCAGGGGCACATAGTCCTGTACTCAGTATTAATTCTCCCGTGACTGTCCCGGGGCCCTTGCCTGGCCCCCCACCCAGGGAGGCAGGGAAGACAGGAGGCCCCGGGCGTTCGGGATTCCCTGATCCAGGGGGCCAGCACGTCCATGGGTGCAGACGAGCACCTCCCGACACAGGGAGGGGACCGGAAGGCCTGTTTTCAGAGTTCCCTTGGCCAGGTGGTGAGGAGGATGGGTGACAGTACTGGGGCCAGATTCCTCAGCCCCAGAGCTGTGAATGGACTGTGACCAGTGCCTGGTGGCCAGAAGGACGAGGAAGAGCCCAGGCTTCTGTTTATGTACTTATTTATTTATTTATTACACCTATTAATAAAAAAGGTGCTTGGCCTCCAAACCAGTTTCTCTTTGGCCTAGCTGGGAGAGGGGAGGAGTGGGCTGTGGGGGCTTATGTCAGGAGCTGCTTCTGCACGGTGCTGAGGCCCAGGGCATTCTGGGTGAAGTGCCCATAGGTGCGGCCGAACTGGAACTTGTACCCTGTGCAGAAGAGAGTATGTCGTGTGGAGCCAGCACCACAGAGACGCCAGACATGTCTCAGCCAGTTCCCACTGCCCTCCAAAATCTGATCCTCCCCATTCTGCACAGCCTCAGTTTCCTTTTCTTCCCAGTGATAAATGAATCAAAAGATCGGAGATCCATGTCCTGTCTCCCCGCCCCACCCAACACACACACACACACACAAGCTACTGTGCCTGTCCCCCTAAGCCTCCCAATGGGGTGCCCCTTACCTGGCACGTAGCCCCCATAGTGAGGTAAAAGGCCCAGGCTTTGAGGGTAGATTCTGGGCAGCGGGGGGCGTGCAGCACCCTTGCTGCTTCCATGCGTGCGCATCTGCCCAAACTCTTGCAGCGCCAGGTTGGTGAGCACTGGGAAGCCGGAGCCAAAGAGGAAGCGTGCACGTGGCACATAACCGGTGAAACCTGGGGGTGCCGAGGACATCCATGAGTCAGAGTGCCCCTCCCCACCCTGTTGGTCATCACCATCCCCAACTCACCGGACATGAAGAACTTTTGAGGATCTTTATCATCCATGGAATAAGGTGAAGCCTTGTGAGGGGAAATGGAAAGAAGCAAAGCAGAGCTGTGAGAGGGATACGCGCCCATGCCCCCGGGCCGGATAGCCCCACTGCCCCTGAAACCCCCAGGCCAGCCCCCGGCTCCCCACAAGCCTTCTCCTCACTTGCTCTGCCTTCTGCCCCAGCTCTGGGTCCGTCTCCGCCTCCAGCTTTGGCTCTTGGTCTTTTTCTGGGTCCTTTTCTCTCTTGTCCTCCTCCAGCTGCCCATGTGCCCCCTGACCCCGGTGCCTCTGGTTGAACTCGCTCAGAGCCTCGGCCCAGGCCTGGCTGCAGTTCTTAGCAAAGATGAACTGTGCCTGGGGTATGAAACCTGGGGGGCACAGGAGGGCTCTATCAGTGTGCAGAACAGTGGTGCTGGGACAGGGGTACCTGTTCATAACCTGTACACGCACCTGTGTACCCCGGCACCAGGCTGGAGCTGAGCCTCTCGTGGCCACGCCTGACAGGGAGGTGGTCCATGGGAACCTCGGGAAAGCTTGGTGGCCGAATGGGAGGCAGAAGAGTGCGGTGGGCAGGGGGCCAGGCTAGGCCCGGAGCGCCTTGGAGGAGCTTCCCCGTCGCCTGCCCATAGGTCTGGCCCATGGTGAACCGAAGTAGCGGGCAGTGTCCAGAGTACCTGCAGCACAGGCCTCAGCGCTCACCCCGGCCCCTGCCCTGGCATCCCCAGGGGCAGGAGCAGAGATCTCTGTCGGTCTGTCTCCCCCGCACTTGATGGATGTCCATTTGGAACAAGCATTTCTCGGTCCTCAGTTTTCAGCCCTCCCCTCTGTCGCTGCCCGTCACCATAGAGAAGACAACAAAGCTTCCTGACAGGCCCGGCTCCCACATTCTCTTGCTTTTCCTTCCAACACCGTAGGTATCCCAGCAGCCCTGGGCCTCCCAAACCACCATGTGTATTTGTCCCTGGAGACCCCGGGGTCCCCTTCCCTACATGCCCTAAACCCCTACTCTCCAAGGGACCGACCTCTGGAGAGAAGGCTTACCCTGGCAGATAGTGAGGGTGCTGAGGGTTCAGCCCCGGTATGAAGGTGCTGGCCCCCGCCATGGGAACCCTGGCAGCTCCTTTTGTTTGCCTTGGAGCCGGCAAGGCAATGCTGGCTGCAGAGGCTGCTGCGGTCTGGGGTTGTGACAGTGGAGACGGGAACCCGGGCAGGAGGCGGGGCAGTGGGAGGAGTGGCTAGAGGGGGCGCCCGGGAGGTGTGACTGTCACGACTCTCACGTCCCAGGCCCGAGCACAGGTCTGAAGACCCAAGAGGAGTACAGCCTGCCTGAGGGGCACAGCCTCCCCACCCTGGGAGCGAAGGAAGGTTGGAGGGGGAGAACACACACCCAGCCCCCTCTCAGCACCTACCAATACCTGGTTGTGGACAGTATTTTGTCTTTGAGAGTCTTGGTTGAAGGCGATGGAGTTCCTGGGAAAAGAGGGACTCTGAGAGGAAAAGGAAAACCTAGAGGAGCCAGAGTGATAGTACAGCAGGTAGGGCGCTTGCCTTGCACACTGCAAACCGGGGTTCAGTCCTGGCATCATATGGTTCCCTGAGCCTACCAAGAGTGAGTACTGAGTGCAGAGCCAGGCCCCCCGGCATGTGGCAGTCAGAACCAGAAAAGCAGCCAGAAAACTCTTCAGGAGTGTGGGTGCTATGGGTGCTACGCTCCCCTCCACACGTGTTTCACCATGAGAACAGCCATGGAGCCAGCACGGCAGGCCAAGGGAAGGGGGCACCCGGGCATGAGGTCAAGCAGCCATAGTTCCTCATGTCTAGTGGCCATAAGCCAAGGTGACCTTCTCCAAGCAGGTGACTGAAATTCTTCTGCCCCTGAATTCTCTACAGGCTAATATGAAAGTTAGGAGGCCAGAGAGATGGCTAAAAGGGCAGAGCATGTGCTTTGCATGTGGGAGGCTGTGGTCCAGTCACCAAACCCTCATAGAAGTGACAACCCTCAAGCACACTGAACCAGGAGTAGCCTCTGCGCACTGCCAGGCCTGACCCCAGAACAAACATTAAAATAAACTAATATACCCAGGATATTACTATATACTTTTAGGATACAGTCAGACTGTGTGTATGAAAGAACTGCCCCCAGCACACAGCTACAGAAACTGAATTTCCTTTCCAAATGTCTGGTATTGTCTGGCAGCTTCTAACATGTGGGAGATCTGTGAATAGTTAATAAATTCAATGCATATGAGTTTTACTGCCAGAGTTCAAAGGAAGGCGTTAAGAGGATAATTGGGGAGGGGGGAGCGATAGTAATCGGGTAGGGCGGTTGCCTTGCACCTGGCTGACAGGGGCTGGGTCCCCAGCATCCCATATGGTTCCCCCAGCAACTCCAGGAGTAATTCCTGAGTGCAGAGCCAGGAGTGACCCCTGAGCATTGCTGGGTGTGACCCCAAAAGCAAAAAAAGAAAAAAAAGGATAATTGGGGAATGGGGGGTAAGTAAGATTAGTGGGGTAGGGGAGAATGGGGCTGGAGAGGGTAGGGTGCTTGCCTTACATGAGGCCAACCAGAGTTCAATCCCTGGCAGCCCATATGGTCCCCCAAGCACCACCAGGAATAATTTCAGAGTATAGAACCTCGAATAAGCCTGAACACCACTAGTTGTGGCCCCAAATCCAAGAAAAATGGAAGGGGGCAGGTTAGCATTGTTATGAAAACAAATCAGATTCCAGAAGACAAAATAGAGATGAGGAAGAGATCTCTGAGACAGGAGTCAGAATGAACACACTGCGGGCTGAGACAAGCCCCTTCAACCTCTTTCCAGAAGGCAGGGCCCAAACCTCCCCTCTCTGACCACACACAGAGCCCTGACAGCTCAAGTACTGCTTTAGCTCAGAGCCCCTAGAGACACATGTTCTGCCAAGAACACCCTGAGTCTGTGTCATTCAGAGATGAAGTTTTAGGAGACTTGGCTCACAGGTAAAAAAATGTGCTAGAGGATGGAGACCCAGAATAGAGGTATTGAACTTCACTCCTTAGACTTCGGGATTCTATAACGGATGCTATTGGTTACAGCTCAGATGAGAACAGGGAGCTTGGAGCTAGCCCTGGAGTGAGTCTGGATTCATCCAAGCCCATAACAGTCCTGTTCCCTTTGCCAGCATAGGCTGGTGGCACTCAAGACAAGCAAAGGGGTTGTCCATGGGAAGGAGGGAGAATTCTGGGGAAAGAATCCTGGATCTTTAAAAAGGCACGCAACAGATGAGAGTGAGGGAAAGAAGAAATGATACCTATTCCTGCCTCTATAAATTCCATGGGGAGGATGATGAGATTAAGCTGGGGCCAATTTGTGAACCCCAGTACCCCATAAGGTTCCCAGAACCCGCAAAGAGTGATCCCTGAGCATAGAGCCAGAAGTCAGCCCTGAGCATAGCTGAGTATGGCAAAAATATTAAAAGTTAGAAATAAACCATTGTTGTACATTAGATATCAATAGGTTATTTGCCAATTTCTTTTTGTTTTGGTGGGGTTTTTGGGGGGTGGGGTTACTCCCAGCTCTGCATTTAAGAATTACTCCTGAAAGTGCTGGGGGAATGGGATACTGGGGATCAAATCCCGATTGTCCCTGTGCAAGACAAATGCCCTACCTGCTGTATTATCTCTCTGATCCCTCAAATTCAAAATTGAACAGATTATCAAAACTATACAGATCCCAGCTCAATGATTTGATTTTAAGTCAATACTGGGCAAACCTAAATTCCTCCCCAGAAGGATAAATGTAAAGGAATCATGGAAACTCTCAAAATCATAAATGAATAAAATCCAAAAGATTACTGTCACTGTCACTGTCCTCCCATTGTTCATCAATTTGCTCAAGCGGGCCCAGTAACATTGTGAGACTTGTTACTGTGTTTGACATATCAAATATATCATGGGTAGCTTGCCAGGCTTTGCCGTGCAGGCGAGATACTCTCAGTAGCTTGCCAGGCTCTCCGAGAGGGGCGGAGGAAAAGATTACATACAATGCAAAACTCTTTCGGGGGTCCACACTTGGCTGTGGGGGCACTCCTGGCTCATTGCTGCTAAGTTGATCTGACAGCACTCAGGAGACTATGAGGTGCCAGGGACCCAAACTGGACCTACTGCATATAACACAGTCCAAACTGTGACCCCAAAGCAAAACTTTTACTGAGGGATCTAGGTGAGTGCTCAGTGTGCACACCTTCCACTTTTCTGAGTGTTTTACTTTTTTTGTTTTAATAATAAAGCTATGGTACAGGGATCTGTTTGAGAAGAATACATAATCAAATAAATTCACTTGACTTCTCTTCCCTAAGATGAAATAGCCTTATTCCCGTGATACCCAGGTTGCGGTCCATTTTCAGCTAAAAGAAACCAAAGATCACTGGGGTAACTGCATAAGATGGGTCTGGAACATTTTAATGTATAAATAGCAAGAACCAATGGTCATGTCAAAAAGATTCAGGAGCCAACTTGAATAAGTTCCCACGGGACAAAAGAAGACAATTTAAGCATCAAATATAATTTTTTTAACACTAGATTGGGCCGGAGCAATAGCACAGCAGGTGAGGCACTTGCATTGCGATCGACCCAGGTTCTATCCCTAGCACTCCATGTGGTCCCCAAGTTCTGCCAAGAGTGATCCCCAAACACAAAGTCAGAAGTAAGCCCTGAGCACCAGTAAGTGTGGCCCCAAAAAAACAAAAATAAAAACACTAAATTGAGATGGCATTTACCTGCCTTGCTGCTGTGGCCATGACACTGGTTGAAATCCCAGCATCGTATTTGGTCCCCCAGCACAGAGCCAGGTGTGGCCCATGAATGCTTCCAGGTGTGACCCAAAACCCAAAATAAATATATAGACACTAGATTGCAGTGTAACACATATGTTTTAAAATTATGAGTTCATAAGGGTACTAAAATACCTCATTGGTCACTTTTAGGGTGCTAGGGAACCAGTGTCCTGGTAAAATAAAAAGAAAACAAGCACTTGCGGGGCCAGGGTGATAGCACAGCAGGTAGGACGTTTGCCTTGCGCGCAGCTAACCCAGGGTTCAATCCCCCCACATCCCATATGGTTCCAAGAGCATTCCCAGGAGTAATTCCTGAGTGCAGAGCCAGGAGTAATCCCTGAGCAACACCAGGTATGGCCCCAAAACAAAAAGAAGCATATTTTTTTGTATCTCCTTCCCTATATGAAATATATTTGGATAACAAAAAGTTAATGTGGAAACATTTTCATTGCAAAAGTATTCTACCTAATAGACAAAAGAGTCATGACAGAAAGAAAACAGTTTCAAACTTCTATATCAATGAACAAGTAGTTCTCAAGTGAGTACAAGTTGTCCCCCCAGTGGGCTACAGGCCATATGGGTCTATACATACTTGGGGTTAATACAGCTGTGGGAGCTGCTACCAGACTCCAATGAGCAAAAACCAGTGGTACCCTCCAACACACAGGATGGGTTGGGGCAGGTAGGGCACTTGTCTGGCATGTGTCCGGCCCAGGTTTGATCCCTGATACCCCATATGGTCTCACAAGCACCACCAGGAGTGATTTCTGAGTGCAGAGCCAGGAGTAACCCCTGAGCATCGCCAAGTGTGACCCCAAAACAAACAAGAATTCTCAATCCCAAGAGTCAACTGTGTCAGGTTTGAGGAAAGCGGGGCTAGACAATGACCACCATCACTGAGCATCTGAGAGCATCAAAGACCACCATGGGGAACCTAACCAGCAAATACTAAAACCAACCATGAATAAGTTCTGCCAAAAATAAATCCAAATCTGCTTGAAGTTTCTAACAGGCTAACAGAAATAGCAGGGAAAGAGGAACATACCAAATCAGAAACATTCAAATTTTGAGAAACTATAAGACAAAAGGCTTGACTGCTTCCATTAAAAAAAAAATAGTTAGAGGGACAAAAAAAGACTATAATTTTTAAATATTCAGAAGATGTATCAGGGGCTGAGTGATAGCACAGTGGGTAGGGCATTTGCCTTGCACATGGCGAACTGGGTTCGATTCCCAGCATCCCATATGGTCCCCTGAGCACTGTCAGGGGTAATTCCTGACTGCAGAGCCAGAAGGAATTCCTGTGCATCACCGTGTGACCCAAAAAGCAAAAAAAAAAAAAAAAAA